AATAATAATGATAATAATAATAATAATAATAATAATAACAATAATAATAATAATAATAATAATAATAATACTAATAATAATAATAATAATAATAATAATAATAACTATCGAGACCCTGCAATTGTGTACAAGAGGCAGAAACTCATGGTTTACAACCACCCACATTTCACTATGTTCCTTGGGGATCATATACAGTATTATATAATAATAATAATAATAATAATAATAATAATAATAATAATAATAATAATAATAATAATAATAATAATAATAATAATAATAATAATAATAATAATAATAATAATAATAATAATAATAATAATAATAATAATAATAATAATAATAATAATAATAATAATAATAATAATAATAATAATAATTAATAATAATAATAATAATAATAAAAATAATAATAATAATAAAGAACCATAACACAAAATGAAAAAGATCGAATGAGAAACAATATATGTAAGTTGTGTTGTCAATATTAAGAGAAACAATTGAGACCCCAAAGTTGTGTGTACATGAGGCAGAAAGTCGATCATCAACCTGGGACTTGGTCACATATGGCAGCAGGGTCTACCATTAGAACACATTATGCTTCCAATATCTTCCCAGGCGGTAGTCTTCCTGTTTGGTAGCTGCTCCATTACCAACTAATTATATAAGATATAACCGTTCTACCTTAATCGCTTTGTAAGATTATCTCTTCATTACTCAATGTTATATAGAGTAATTATATAAGTTATACATTTGTTATATGATTACTAGCAAAATTTAGGGTTTAGAATTCGCTGATCAAAATTACAGTGGGTCCTCCAGTCTTTTAATAGGTCCTCCAGTCTTTAATAGGTCCTCCAGTCTTTTAATAGGTCCTCCAGTCTTTTAATAGGTCCTCCAGTCTTTTAATAGGTCCTCCAGTCTTTAATAGGTCCTCCAGTCTGTTAATAGGTCCTCCAGTCTTTTAATAGGGTCCTCCAGTCTTTTAATAGGTCCTCCAGTCTTTTAATGTCCTTCAGTTTTAATGGGTCCTTCAGTCTTTTAATAGGTCCTCCAGCGTCTTTTAATAGGTCCTCCAGTCTTTAATGGGTCATACAGTCTGTTAATGGGTCCTACAGTCTGTTAATGGTCCTACAGTCTGTTAATGGGTCCTACAGTCTGTTAATGGGTCCTACAGTCTGTTAATGGTCCCACAGCCTGTTAATGGGTCCCACAGTCTATTAATGGTCCTACAGTCTGTTAATGGTCCTACAGTCTGTTAATGGGTCCTACAGTCTGTTAATGGTGCATGTGGACTGGGATCCATTTGACCTGAACAGACTCAATTATATGAACGTCTTGTGGTAATTGATGACTTCTGTAAGGTGACGTCCCATTAGTGGTGATTACCCTCTCTATTTTCTTTCTTTATAACAGTCACTTGATGTATTTGAACTATTTTTAAAGAGATAAAGTGCTAGTAAGATGTTGATGCCTTACTAAAACACACACACACACACACACACACACACACACACACACACACACACACACACACACAGAAAGGAGAGACCGAGTAAATGTGGAATGACTGAGAGAAATAAAGGAGAGAGAGAGAGAGAGAGAGAGAGAGAGAGAGAGAGAGAGAGAGAGAGAGAGAGAACATTAACTGAGTTATTCCTAAAGAATAAAAATCTGCTGGTCGGCTCATCAAAGGCATTTTACGGTGGAGAGAGAAATTTTTTCTTCTTTTGTGTGAGGGTAGGGAGGGAACGAGGGGAAAGGGAGAGTGCAGAGGGAAGCATGGAGAGATGGAGGGAGGGGAGAGAGGGGAGGGAAGTAAGGGAGAGATGGAGGGAGGGGAGGGGGGGAGGATGTAGGAGATGGAGGATGGAGGAAGGAGGAAGGGAGGGATTCTATCCCTTATCTAATTGTACTCAAGAGAGAATAAAGGGTCATTGTTTTTAATTACGCTGGGGTGCTGCTCTCTCTCTCTGGCGTCTTTATTATTATTGTAGTTCGTCTTGATTATCTTTTTTCTTCCATTTTGTTTTCTTTCGCACTTTCCTTCTTTTGAATGAAGAGAGAACCCATCCCACCCCAATCCACCCTAATACCCCCTACCCCCTACCCTACCCTACCCTACCCCCACCCCTCACCTAACCCTACACTACCCACCCCTACCCTACTCCCTACCCTACTCCTCAACTTAACCCTACCCTACCTCACCTAACCCTACCCTACCCTCACCTAACCCTACCCTACCCTACCCCTACCCTACCCTCACCTAACCCTACCCTACCCCTACCCTACCCTACCCTACTCTACCCTCACCTAACCCCTACCCTACCCTACCCTACCTCCAGGATGAACCACTGCGTCACCTGTGTATCAATATGGTAATACAGTCATTAACGTCAATTTTATCGGATCTTTGAAAATTCCTTTTACTCTGCCGATGACAGGAAGACGATCCCATTAACCGATAACATACATATACGATACGATTCATAATAGAGAAAGGTTGACTCATATGTTTCCTGATTATCTGATATTCAGCACGACCCCCACCCCCTGTCTCACCATTAAGGCCCACGCGATTCCATTACCGCGTCGGCATGTAGGCTACTGTACGTCTATTGGGCACGACTCATCTAAAGATTCATTTGATTCGATTATTCAGCGCCTGTATCTCATTGCTCTGCCATAAACGACCTGGGGATCTTGATTATCGACCTGTACTGGGAACGGCCGCGCCTTCATAGTGATTCGATTACGTTGATGGCTCGCTGAAGGCACGGTTCTTATAAGGTTATTGTGTAGGGCGGTATAAAGCCCCCGCCTATACCCTCGATACCAACCAATAGGAGTTGAGAATTGGAAGCGAAGGGCACCAATGGGAGTTGAGAATTCCGGTAGCGGCCAAAATAAATGAGAATGAGCGAAAGGGGACCAATGGGTGCTGAGAATAGACATGGGTCGACCAATAGATGAGAATAGGTAACGAACGACCAATAGGAACCGAGAATAGGTAACAGACGACCAATAGAACTGAGTATAAGTAATAAAACGACCAATTGAGCTGAGAATAGGTTACAGATGACCACAGGAACTGAGTATAAGTAACAAACGACCAATAGGAACTGAGAATAAATAACAAACGGCCGCCATTAGAACCGAGAATAGGATTTTAACGTCATTAATCGAGAAAGGACCCCCCCACCCCCGAGCAAGAAGGGTCTATTAACACGTATACAGCCAATCAGCACAACTGTTTATCCTTCATAACGAGGTGAGGCTGCTGAATTGACTTTCTTCTCTGCCTCCTTCTTTCTTTCTTTCCTTCCTTCTTCTCCTACTTCTATCCCTCCCTCTTATTTCTGTTTCTCCTTCTCCTCCACCTCCCAAAATTTCTTCTTCCTCCTCCCTTTTCCTTTCCTCCTCTCTTCACCTTTATTTGTATTCTCATCCCCAGAGAGAGAGAGAGAGAGAGAGAGAGAGAGAGAGAGAGAGAGAGAGAGAGAGAGAGAGATTCAAACTGAGTTGGAAATAAATGGAAAATATCTATCTATCTCCAAATCACTTGTACCATTTCGTTTCATTTTTCTTTTATACAGATTTATCTCTTCATATCTCTCCTGTCTCCTCTGTTTATCAATTATCTCTTTTTTTCCAACTTTCTTTCCCTGATAATTGTAACTCTATTAATTATTATTTCTTCCGTTATCTTTTCCCTTCCATTCTCCTCATCCTCTTCCTTTCTCCCTCCCCATCCTCCTCTCTCTCGACGAAGAGTTAAATTTAAGGAATGGAGACGCAAGGAAGAAGTGGCAAGAAGATGGAGAATTAATTGGTAGAAGGAGAAAGAAAGCTAACTAAATGAGACCAAAAAGAGAAAGCAAAAAAGAGAAAGTTCAATTGGAGGTATTATTGTGACTCACCGAGGAAAGTAATCTGGTGATGACATGAAGATAGAAAATTAATAATAATAATAATAATAATAATAATAATAATAATAATAATAATAATAATAATAATAATAATAATAATAATAATAATAATAATAATAATATTAATACAACAACAACAACAACAACAACAAACAACAACAACAACAACAACAACAACAACAATAACAACAAAATAATAATAATAATAATAATAATAATAATAATAATAATAATAATAATAATAATAATAATAATAATAATAATAATATGAAAAGAAGAAAGATCAATAAAATAATGATAAAAGCAAGAAAAAAGAGAGAGAGAGAGGAGAGAGAGAGAGAGAGAGAGAGAGAGAGAGAGAGAGAGAGAGAGAGAGAGTAATGTTAACCTAACCTAAGTTTGTTACTCTCAATGAACATAATTTACACTAAGTTGTTAACTAATCCAGTAATATATCTTCTCCATTGCCCTTAAAAGCCAATTTATTGCCCTTTCTTGTTTATACATTAGTGCTCTATATGCTCGAGCACTATGATATTGCCCTCTCCCTTGCCCTTTAAATATAAATATTTACCATTTTGCCCTTTAATAATATTCACACTACCCTGACCGCAATCATTATCCTCTTGCCCCTAAAAGTAATCATTGCCCCTCTTGCCCCTAACAGTAATCATTGCCCTCTTGCCCCTAACAGTAATCATTGTCTCTTGCCCCTAACACCAACTCATTGCCCTCTTCCCCCTAACACCAATCATTATCCCTCTTGCCCCTAACAGTAATCATTGTCCTCTCTGTCCCTAACAGTAATCATTGCCCCTCTTGCCCCTAACAGCAATCATTGCCCTCTTGTCCCTAACAGTAATCATTCCCTCTTGCCCCTGCAGTAATCATTGCCCCTCTTCCCCTAACAGTAATCACCCCTCTTGCCCCTAGCAGTAATCATTGCCCCTCTTGCCCCTAAAAGTAATCATTGCCCCTCTTGCCCCTAACACCAACCATTGCCCTCTTTCCCTAACAGTAATCATTGCCCCTCTTGCCCCTAACACTAACCATTGCCCCTCTTGCCCACAGGTGTCGTACGTGGTAAACCCCAACGGGTATGAAACTCGGAGATACTGCTGGATGTCTGTCGAGCGGGGCATGTTGGTATCCTTCATAGTGCCCGTGTGTACACTAATACTGGTGAGTCACTTATACTGGTGAGTCACTTATACTGGTGAGTCACTTATACTGGTGAGTCACTTATACTGGTGTGTCACTAATACTGGTGTAAACACTAATACTGGTGAGTCACTTATACTGGTGAGTCACTTACACTGGTAGTCACTTATACTACTGAGTCATAGTGGTGAGTCATTTATATTAATAAGTCACAAATGTTTCTGTACCTGTAATTACACGAGTACCTGTATGTAGAACCTGTAATAGTGTTTGTAAAATTAATCCCACTAGCATAAAGGGCTGAGGGTCAGAAGGGCTCCCCTGAAAGGCTCCATAATGGCACCGTGAATGGCCCCTGTGTTGGCTCAGGAAGGAGTGCCACTGTTGACCCAAGGAGGAAAAAGATCCTGTGTTGTGTTTGACTTAAAGTGTTGCTGCTGTTATGTCACAGGTGTTGCCACCGGAGGGGGGTGTTTTTGCTGGTGGTGGTGGTGGTGGTGGTAACTGTTAGCTAAGAGTGGCATTTTAGATAGATAGATAGATAGATAGATAGATAGATAGATAGATAGATAGATAGATAGATAATGTCCGTGTGATATAAAGTGTTCACCGTAAAAGTATACATACATACATACATACATACATACATACATACATACATACATACATACATACATACATACATACATACAAGAAATATACGACACCTCTTACAATTTACAGTGTTCAAATATATAGTTGTTTTGTCCAACCAAACACATAAGATTACACTTTCGTTGTTGTTATCACCGTTTTGTTAGTATTGTTGTTGTTGTTGTTGTTGTTTGGTTAGCATTGTTATTTGTGTAGTTATTGTCTTGCTTCTTGTTGATACATTATTTTTATGGGTGGTAATGTTGCAGTGGATGGCGTTATTGTTTGGTGGTGCAGGTAATGGTAATGTTGTTGTTGTTGTTGTGGGTGGGTTGTTGGTTATGGTGGTATTGTTGTTGTTGTTGTTGTAGCAGTGGCGGTACGTTGTTGTTGTTTTTATTATTGTTGTTTTTGGTGATGGTGGGTGTTTTGTTGTTGTTGTGGTGGTGTTGTTGTTGTTGTTGGTAGTGTGCGGTGGTTGTTGTTGTTGTTGTTGTTGTTGTATGGGTGGGTGGTTGTTGTTGTAGTGGTGGTTGTTGTTGTTGTTGTTGTTGTTGTTGTGGTGGTGGTTGTTGTTGTATTGGTGGTTGTTGTTGTTGTTGTGGTGGTAATGGTGGTTGTTGTTGTTGTGGTAGTGGTTGTTGTTGTTGTTGTTGTTGTTGTTGTTGTGGTGGGTAATGGTGGTTGTTGTGGTGGTGGTGGTGGTAATGGTGGTTGTTGTTGTATGGTGGTGGTTGGTTGTGCGGTAATGGTGCTGTGGTGGTGGTGGTGGTAATGGTGGTTGTTGTTGTTGTTGTAGTGGTTGTTGTTGTTGTTGTTGTTGTTGTTGTTGTTGTTGTTGTTGTTGTTGTTGTTGTTGTGGTGGTGGTGGTGGTGGTGGTGGTGGTGGTGGTGGGTGGTGGTGGTGGTGAGGTGGTTGTTGTTGTTGTTGTTGTTGTTGTTGTTGTTGTTGTTGTTGTTGTTGTTGTTGTTGCTGTTGTTGTTGTTGTTGTTCTTGTTCTTGTAGTGGTGGTGTTGTTGTTGTTGTAGTGGTGGCTGTTGTTGTGGTGGTAATGGTGGTTGTTGCAGTGGTGGCAGTCACAACCAAGCCTTCAATAAAGCACTCGTTGGAATATTTTGCGCTATCGATTTCCTGGTTATTCCTCACCTAAGTGTCATCAACCAGGCTACCAGTCATCCATACCATCACTATCAATTATCATCACTCTCACTTATCATCCTTCATCATTATCATTTATCATCACTATCATTTATGCTCGTTATCACTCACTATCATCATCACCCTCAATCATATCACTACACCCATACTGCCATCACCTCAACCATATTATCATCACCATCCATACTACCATCACTATCGTCATCACTCACAATTACTATATCATCATCACTATCATTACACCATATCATCACCATCACACCATTATCACCATCATACCATCGTTTCACCATTACCGCCATCACCAATAAATCCACCATCATCATCACCACCATCACCATCACCATCTACACCATCACCACCACTCCATCATCACCACCATCACCACCACATCACCACCACTACCATCACCCATCACCACCACACCATCCACCATCATACCACCACACCATCATAAATCACCACCACATCACCTTCTTCACCATCACCTAATCACCACCACCATCATCATCACAAATCACCACACATCACCACAATCATACCATCACTTATACATCACCTCAACCATTACTCATAACAACAACCACAAATTGGTCTTTTTGTCTTGGTATCGGAAAACCATTACCAAATCGCCCTGGATGACTCCTGGTTGGAAGGGAAGAATATTGGTCCTTGTCCTTCTCTCTGGTGTCCTGTTTTATATCTGTTTTATGTGTGTTTTACAGCTCATTAATGTATGTGTGTTTGTGGGGAAGGTCTTGTGTTTTATGGTTGGAGGTCTGTTGTTGGATATTTTGTTTGTTTAAGGGCCATTAATTTGTTTTTTTCTTGAGAGGAGTTTATGTTTGTTTGTTTGTTTGTTTGTTTTAAGATAATTAATGTTTTGGGGGTGAGTTCTGTTTTGTTGTTGTTTCGATCATTAATGTGTGTGTGTGGTGTGTGTTCAGTGAGAGGGAGGGAAGAGAGAACGTAATGTGGAAGGGGAGGGAGGAGAGGAGAACGACAGAGTAAACAAGTGACAAGCAAGGAGGGATGAAGGATGGAGAACGTGTAATGATAAAGAGAACAGAGGGAGAAAAAGAAGAAGAGGAGGCTACAGGGAGGAGAAAGAGGGTGAGAGGGAGGAAGAGGGTGAGGGAGGAAGAGGTGAGGGAGGAAGAGAGGGTGAGGGGAGGAAGGGTGAGGAGGAAGAGGGTGAGGAGGAAGAGGGTGAGGGAGAAGAGGTGAGGGGAGGAAGAGGGTGAGGGGGAGGAGAGGGTGAGGGGGAGGGAGGAAGAGAGGGTGAGGGAGGAGAAGAGGGTGAGGGGAGGAAGAGGGTGAGAGGAGGAGAGGGTAGAGGGGAGGAAGGGTGAGGGAGGGGAGGAGAAGAGGGTGAGGGGAGGAAGAGGGGTGAGGGAGGAAGAGGGTGAGGGGAGGAAGAGAGGTGAGAGGGAGGGAAGAGGTGAGGGGAGGGAGAAGGGTGAGGAGGGAGGAAGTGGGTGAGGGAGGAAGAGGGTGGGGGAGGAAGAGGGTGGGGAGAGGGAGGAAGAGGGTGAGGGGAGGAGAAAAGAGGGGGGGGAGGAAGAGGTGAGGAGGGAGGAAGAGGGTGAGGGGAGGAAGAGGGTGGGAGGGAGGAGGGGTGAGGGAGGAAGGTGGGGAGGAAGAAGAGAGGGAGGAAGGGTGGGGGAGGAAAGAGGGTGGGGGGAGGAAGAGGGTGAGGGGGAAGGAAGAGGAGTGGGGAAGGGAGGAAGAGGGTGGGGAGGAGGAAGAGGGTGGGGGAGGAAGAGGGTGGGGGAGGAAGAGGGTGAGAGGGAGGAAGAGGGTGAGAGGGAGGAAGTGGGTGAGGGGGAGGAAGAGGGTGAGGGGGAGGAAGAGGGTAAGGAAGGTAGCCAGGAAGTAAACATATAACACTCAGGTCTTATATCACTTTAAAGAAGAAAAAACATGTGAATCTCATTTCTTTGTTTACTATCACCTGAGGGGAATCCCCGTCTAGCCTCGTACCTGTTATTGTTGTTGTCCTTTGTACCTGTTATTGTTGTTGTTTTTTAGTTGAGTTGTCATTGTTTTTTGCTTTTTTTTAATTGTCGTTGGTCCTTGTTGGTGCATTTGTCTTTATATAGCGTAAGCGTTTTTCCACTTATAGGTCACATGAATAAGACGGCCTGAACTATCTACAAGGTGTTATGGAAATACATTTCATAATTCTGGTATATATTCCTGAGACATACATAAGGATAAATGACCATACTGTAGTGTCAATACCCAATAGTTTCAGAGTTATACCACACAACTGAGTAGGGGAGGACTGCAACAAGTCTATGGACATAAAACATATGGTATCAAGACCTATTTAAAGTACAGGTAAGCGGTACCAGTCGAGTGGGTCTGTTGACAACCCACATAATGAGACATACATCTCATCAGGTGAAACAAACCTACATATTCTTGAGAACATCTTGCCAGTGATGCTTGAGGATGTGCCCATCAGGATACGTCAACAACTATGGTACTGTATATGCATGATGGCGCCTCAGTTCATTTTGCTCGAGTAACAATGGAATTCCTAAATGTTGGGTAATCTGTTCCACGGCCACCTTGATCACCTGACCCAAAACCCCTCTAATTGTGAGGTCACGTTAAAAGCAAAGTGTGTGCTACAGAGGTCCCGACTCATGAGGAACTGTGGTGCCGAGTACAAGACAGTGCCAGAATGCTTGTGGCACAACACACCTGGAGTCTTTGAATGTGTACGGCAGTCACTTTGAACATGTACGGCAGTCACTTTGAACATGTACGGCAGTCAATTTGAACATGTACGGCAGTCACTTTGAACATGTACGGCAGTCACTTTGAACATGTACGGCAGTCACTTTGAACATGTACGGCAGTCACTTTGAACATGTACGGCAGTCAATTTGAACATGTATGGCAGTCACTTTGAACATGTACGGCAGTCAATTTGAACATGTACGGCAGTCACTTTGAACATGTACGGCAGTCACCTTGAACATGTACGGCAGTCACTTTGAACATGTACGGCAGTCACTTTGAACATGTACGGCAGTCACCTTGAACATGTACGGCAGTCACTTTGAACATGTACGGCAATCACCTTGAACATGTACGGCAGTCACTTTGAACATGTACTGTAGAATCCACATCAGATTGTAAATATAGCAACACTCAATACTTAATTTATACTCCATAGATTTGATCACATTCTAACCCTAATTGCCACGTGTTATAACTCTGAAACTATGGAGTACTGACAGTAAAGTAAGGTCATTTACCCTCATGTATGTTTCAGGATTACATACCAGAATTATGAAACATATGTCCAAACACCTTGTAGATGATAGATAGATAGATAGATAGATAGATAGATAGATAGTTAGATAGATAGATAGATAGAGCGTCACCATAACCACCCCAGCGTGATTTTTTTTTACTGTTGAAGGTCAAGTTGGGATGGAAGAGAGAGAGAGAGAGAGAGAGAGAGAGAGAGAGAGAGAGAGAGAGAGAGAGAGAGAGAGAGAGAGAGAGAGAGAGAGAAGAGAGAGAACAACAAGATAAAGACAAAATAAAAAAAAAAGGAGGAAAATGAAGTAAGCAAAATTAAGTAATTGGAAAAAAAATAAGAGCATTAAGAATAAGGAATTAGAAAGACATAAATAAAGTCAAATACGAATAAAACAAAGAATAAGGAGGAAAAATAAAAGAAAAAGAGAAGTAAAAGAATCAAGAATGAAAGCCCAGAGGAAGAAGAGGAGGATAATTAGTGGTGAGGTCAGCACCATAAGGTCAGGTCACCTCTGGTATTATTAATCATAAATATGAGTCTCGTAAGAATGGGGGGAAATATTGAACTAAATTTTTTATTGGCTTGGCTGAAGGTCTTAATGTGAGGTCTAGTGCTCTCTCTCTCTCTCTCACACACACACACACACACTTTATCTGCTTACCTCAAATTCTACATGATTACTTTTATTGATCAAAATAAATACAAATAAAAACAATGTATTGGAATCTCATATATTAAAAAAAAATTAAGGTCAAAATAAAAAGGTTTCCAGATAGTATAAGAAATCCGAACTTATCTTAAAGGGGGGGGAATCCAATCCTATCTTGAAAACCCCCTTAAGGTTAAAGGATTATACTCTCAAAATCCTATGAAATCAATGGTGTGTGGGGTCTCCTGGGTACAGAATCCTATAGACACGGTGGACAGGATTTCCCCGAGGACAGCAGATAGGACTCACTGTGACGATGTTATAAGGGAACGAAGAGAGGAGCGAGACGGGTCCATGTTTATATGGTACGTGGCGGTGTGTGTTCGTGTGACGGCTCTGGCTTCGGCTTCGTGTCAAGTGGCTCTCTCTCTCTCTCTCTCTCTCTCTCTCTCTCTCTCTTCTACCACATAATGAACGCCACATTTCTCCTATTTAATTTATTACGTTCCTTCCCTTGTTTAGTGAACGCCTGGATGGGATGAAATTAAACCCTTCTGTTGTCTTCTAACACAAAATGAACGCCTTGTCCATTCTAACTAACCCATTACGTTCTCTTCTTCGTCCTCGTCAGGTGAACGCCGGGGTGTGTGTGGCGGCGCAGAAGGTGCTACTAGACATGCGTGACGGCATCAAACACGAGGTCATGACCCGACACAAGCGTGACCTCAGAGGCGCCGTCTCCCTGTTGCCACTCGAGGGGGTGAGCTGGTTCTTGGCGGTGGTTGCTCTTGAGGATGACCAGTCCCTCGCCCTTGACTGTGCTGCAGCCCTCGTCAGCGCTTGCCTCGTGAGTATTGTTGGAGAGAGAGAGAGAGAGAGAGAGAGAGAGAGAGAGAGAGAGAGAGAGAGAGAGGGGAGAGGGGGGGGGGGGTGGTGAGAGAGGGAGATAGAGTGAAAACAAAATTTCTGCCTCCTGGAAAGCTGAGAAATAAACAATCACTCGTCGACGGCGCCGGAACCAACAATAAATTTCTCACTTGTAAACACACACCGCCGGGATACACGTCGTAAAGTGTCGCTGGGAGTGTGGCGGCCCTGACTTAAGGCAAGCACAGAACCAATGAAAAGTCTTGATTCATCCCAGGGGGTAATTTCATTGGTGGAGAAGCTGCAATTGCTGGGGACTTAAGGAGTCTTAAAGACCATAGATTATGGGGGGAGGGACGAGGGGGGAACGAAGGACGATCCAATGAAAAATCTTGACTTATCCCCAAGTGTAATTTCATTGGTGGGAGGTGCTGGTAGTAGGAGGGTATACGAAGAGAGCTTATAAGTCAGGGAACCAATGGAGATCACGGATTGTACAACGAGATGTTTTATTAGTCATGATCCTGGGGGGTTATATAGAGAGTTTATGATGGAGAGAGCCAATGAAAAATCTCGATTAACCCAAGAAGTAATGTGATTGGTGGTAGGAGGGATCAGACATAAAACAGAGAAAGAGAGAGAGAGAGAGAGAGAGAGAGAGAGAGAGAGACAGAGAGAGAGAGAGAGAGACCAATAAAATAAAAGCAGCTCAGGTGAGGAAGAGTTTTATGGCGCCCTCACCCTTGACTCCATCCACCATGACATCAGTTCCTCCTCAACTTACAAACAAAAACTCAGTCACAAAACGCGGGTGAGAGATGAACGCACAGGGGAGAGAGAACGTTGACGTCAATAAATCATTCCTGATATAATAACTCGTAAAGTCTAGTCATGGGAGTTCACTTTAGAACCTTAACGTGAACATGATTCTCTCTCGTAGAACGCGGGTGAGTTATGAACGCGCGCGCTTACATGTATAATAAAAACTCTTTTCTATAAATATATAAACAAAAGAACCGTGAATAAACCAAGACCTTAATAAAATATACATAAAAACAAAAGCACATCACCACCAGAGTATCGAAACAACAATGAGAAGAATCACCTGAGGATTAACCACCTTATCCCTGCATGGAGGGTTAGATTAGGTTAGGTTTGGATAGATTAGGTTAGAGTTTAAATAGGTTAGGTTAGGTTAGGTTAGGTTAGGTTAGGTCCTTTAATCATCCAGTGAAATAAGTATAAGCACAAAGGCGAATGAACCCTACATAACATCATGTAAATTGAGTCATCTATACTCGCGCTGGTGCCGGCAGGGGCTATAGAGGAATGGAATCGTATTCATAAGTAGGTTCAGAAGCCATTATGTGCACCAAGAATAGGATTTTGATTCAATTTCCCGGAGTTTTTAAAGGGGTTTAAATTCTCTATATACGACAGGGTAATGTTAACATATTTATGTGTGTTTATGTACGTTTATGTGTGTTTATGACTTAAAGTTTATTTAAATATGTTTATATGTGATTATAATTTTATATGTAAGAAGTATTGATTCATGATATATACGAAAGTAAATAAATATGACTAAATAAATTATGTATCACTAAATTTATGATTAAACAGATGAATAAAAACCAGAATTAAAGACAATAAATAAATAAATACGACACAATGGAGTAAATAAACAAATAAATAAATAAATATATAAGCTTATTGATAAATGATAACATAGACGAAACGAAAAAAAAATCACTGACGCCATTTTGGGTAGAAGAACACACTCACCCTGACCCATATTGTTATCATATCATCTATTGTTTTCCTAACTCGGTGATTGGTTATGGCTGGCTGAAAAGTGTATCCTATCAACCAATCAAAACTGAGAATTTTTTTTACCCTGTGATTTCTATTTGACGGTGTGAATATACTGTCTGTCTGTCTGTCTGTCTGTCTGTCTCTAGTTGTATTAATATTTACTTTCTTTCTCTTTAGTGGTGAGCAAATAACGTTTAAACCCACCCATTTTCCCCACGTCAGTCACAATCTTCCCGTACTACTGGCAATTCTCCCACGACCCTCAGGATTTTTCCCCACGACCCTCAGGATTTCCCCCACGACCCCCCACCCCCCAACCCCACACCCCCCCAACACATCATCTCCACATTTTCCACGCAATATCTAGACCCTTTCTCTCCACGCTCGTCATCCTGAAACATTCCACGCCCACGCCAACAACACGCAGACCAGGACGAGAAAAACAATTCACCAGGGCGGCGTTATTCTACCTCTCTCTCTCTCTCTCTCTCTCTCTCTCTCTCTCTCTCTCTCTCTCTCAACACATATTCTCACACATTTCTCAACACACTTCAACATACACATATTTTCAACACTCCTCAACACTCCACTCAACAATCTCAACACTCAACACTCCCTCCAACACCCCTTCTCAACACCTCCCTCAACACACTCCTCAACACCTCCCTCAACACACTCCCTCTAACACACTCCCTCCAACACTCCCTCAACACTCCCTCAACACACTCCCTCAACACACTCCTCAACACACTCCCTCAACAACACTCCCTCAACAAACTCCCTCAGCCACACTCCCTCAACACCTCCCTCAACACACTCAACACACTCCCTCAACACCTCTCTCAACACACTCCCTCAACACACTCCCTCCAACACACTCTCAACCTCCCTCAACACTCTCCAACACACACTCAACACACAAAACAAGGACACATTATCATAACAGATCATGTGTGCAGATTAGGAAAGAAAAAAAACAAGCTATTAATTGTAAATAAAGGCATTTTTATCTGACCAGTCATATGGCAAACAGGAGGGGAGAGGAGAGACAGGGGAAGGGGGGAGAGGAGGACAGGGAAGGGGCGGGAGAAGGGAGGACAGGGAAGGGCGGGTGAAGGAGGACAGGGAAGGGGCGGTGAAGGGGGACAGGAGGGAAGGGAAGGGTGACAGGAGGAAGGGGGGCAGGAAGGTGGCTGGGGAAGGGCAGATGAGAGGCGTGGGACAGGGAAGGGCAGGGGTGAAGGAGTGACAGGAAGGGGCGGGTGAAGGAGTGACAGGGAAGGGGGCGGGAGAAGGAGTGACAGGGAAGGGGCGGGTGAAGGAGGGACAGGAAGGGCGGGAGGAAGGAGTGAGGAGGGAAGGGAGTGGGGAAGGAGTGACAGGGGAAGGGCGGGGAGGAAGGACAGGGAAGGAGAAGGGAGACAGGAAGGACAGGGAAGGGCAGGTGGGGAGTGACAGGGAAGGCGGAGGAGTGAGAGAGGAAGGGAGTGAGGGAAGGGGCGGTGAAGGAGTGACAGGGAAGGGTGAAGGAGTGACAGGGGAAGGGGCGGGAGGAGTGACAGGGAAGGGAAGGGGGACAGGGGAAGGAGTGACAGGAAGGGGCGGGTGACCCAAGGAGGGGCGGGTGAAGGAAGTGACAGGGGAAGCAGGTGTGGAAGGGTGAGCAGGGACAGGGGCAGGTGGAAGAATTGACAGGAAGGGAGCAGGGAAGGAGTGACAGGGAAGGGCGGGGGAAGGAGGACAGGAAGGGGCAGGTGGAGAGGAGTGACAGGGAAGGGAGACTGGGAGAAAGAAGGGTATTGACAGGGAAGGGGGCGGAGTGGAAGGGTGAAGGAGGACAGGGAAGGGCGGGTGAAGGAGTGACAGGGGAAGGGGCGGGAGGAGTGACAGGGAAGGGGCGGGTGGAAGGAGTGACAGGAAGGGGCGGGGTGAAGGTGACAGGGGAAGGGGAGGAAGGAGTGACAGGGGCGGGTGGAAGGAGGAAGGGGCGGGTGAAGGAGAGGGGGAAGTGATAGGAAGGGCGGGTGAAGGAGGAAGGAAGGGCGGGTGAAGGTGACAGGGACAGGGAAGGGGCGGGGGTGAAGGAAGGGCGGGTGATGAGGAGGGAAGGGCGGAGAAGGAGTGTGACAGGAAGGGCGGTGAAAAGGAGGGTGGGACAGGAAGGGTTGGAGGGAGGACAGGGAAGGGGCGGGAGAAGGAGTGACAGGGAAGGGGCGGGAGAAAGAGAGGGAGAAGAAGAGAGGTGATGAGAGATATGGAAAAAGACAGACAGACGGATAGGGGAGATGTGGGAGAGAGATAGAGAAAAGTATCGATTGAGGGTGAGAAAGAAAACAAACACACACACACACACACACACACACACACACACACACACACACACACACACACACACACTACTACGACTACTTTGCTGTCACTCGGAATCGAGTATGACGATCATCCAGCTATGATACAATGATATGAGTTAGTAGGGATGTCACCTTCGTTGGTGAGCTCTGAGGTGACTAGAGAGTCCGATATGGGACCGGCAGTGTCGTCCAAAGATGTTGCACGTGTGGAGGGCTACATATAGTGCGGGAGGGTGGGTGGCAGCGTCTTTTCAGCGTTGGCGCTTGTCTGCCTCGGTATACAGTCGGGCTAACTCGAAAGTATTGACACCTTATCATATGGTGCTCATTCAAGCGTTACGGTGTGGATAAATCGTCTCCCAGGTGAGGGGGTCGATTTCGCACTTTTTTTCAGGTTTGTCTTAAAACTATCCTTATATCTTTTCAGTTGCCCGCCAGCGTTACGTTTACTATTCGTTAGGTGACTGTAAAGTAGCTGCTTTGGCAGTCTACTGTTGTCCATGTGGGTAACATAGACAGTTCAACATAGTTGTTCATGGATAATGGTAGCCTCGATGCTCCGACAGTTGGTGTCAGCGAGAATACTGGCATTTGTTCTCTTATCTACCCAGCGAACTCGGAGGATGGAACGTAGACAACGTTAGTAAACGTTTCAACTGTCTTGAGGTGCCTCCTGCATGTGACCCATGTCTCGCTGCCATATAGCAGGGTGGGGAGGACCACTGCTCGATCTACGTGAAACTTTATAGATAATTTATGTTCCCTACAGCTGAAAACACTGTTACAGAGTCTGCCAAAGCCTCGAGATGTACAT